TGGGGCAGTTCTGCTCTGTGCTATGTGGTCAGCATAGGCAGGAATAGGCTCAATGGCAGTGGGTTTAGTTTTTCTGGTTTGGGAATTGCCCAAATAGTTTTCATTGTTCTTACTCCAATTCATCCATTTTTCTGATCCAAGCTCCTATACTGGGCTTATTTGTGACGTCTCTGTTGCTGTTTTAGGTGCTGTTGACCCACAGTGACCTGCGTACGACAGACTGCAACAGTATGCGATCCTGAGCCATCGTGACAAAAGTAGGTATTCCTTTACTTCCTCTTGGTCTAGAACTGCCTCCTGCCCTCCTTGGATCTCATGACCTTGACATCTCAAAGTGCCCAGGCCAAGTGCAGTTTTCTGAATGTCCCACATATGAACTTGTCGGTTGCTCAGTCATAATCAGATGCAGGCTGACGTGTGGCATCTTCACAGGTGACGTTGCTACCTCGCAGCACGTCACAGCAGGACGCACCAATGTCAGTCTGTCCCATTTGGTCCTGTCAGGTTTGATCATGGTCAAGGTGGGGTCCAGCAGATTTCTCCATCACCCAGGTACGTCCCCTTGGTGACTGGTACATGATCTGGGGTACACTGTGCACAGCCTGTATCCAGTGGCTTTCACATCCACTGCTGATCTTTGCAGAATCAATTATTACAGCGGTGACTACAAAACGCAGTGTCCTAACTCTGTCATGCCATCCGCACGACGAGCTGACAATTCTTCTACAGCGTCACAGCGGGCCCATCACTTATCGGCATGTCATCTCTTACAACCCACGGGCACCGCTCTTCTTTCTGCTGCTCCACCTGGTCCAGACTGGCCAGGACGCCCCCTGGCCGCCTCCTAGGCCTCTCCTGTGAGGCTCTCATCTGTCGGTGCACCTCCTGCCTTGTCTGTGCCCTCCCTGTGAAACCCATCCCTTCAGAGTGCTGGTTCCTCTTATCAGGAAATGGTATTTAGAGACCAAGATCTGGCTGTGGGATGTGCTCATTGCTACAGAGGGTCACTGCTTCTAGGCCCTTTCAGTGGGCACAGCTGGGAACTGTATTTCTAAACAAATTCATGATTTCATCTATAAATCAGTCAGAAAAGCTCAGATACCTCAACAGAAAAATGGGGAGCTCTGCTCCCACCTAGGCAGCAGGAAGCTGCAAAGAACCCTGTCCTTCCCTACAAATGGGAAAAAGCCAGACAATCTGCAAAATCTTCACTTTTCTTAAGCCCACTGGAGAGGTGGGCCTGCCAGGCACCCAAGCAATCCCGACTACGAGGAAGATAAGCCCCTGTGGAGGGAAGGACCCACGAAGGGTTCCCCTTGGGCAGAGCACCCAGGCAGGCAGGCCACTCGGTCACAGTCCTCAGGGCTTTACAGGAGTCACTCCTTTCAAACTCAATCCACCATGTGACACGGGTAAGCTGCTTCTAGCCAAGAGAACCCATGGGGGAACTAACAATAGTAGTTGCAAGGACAGTGGGGGAGACACGGAGGAATTCTCAGCTGTAAGGAAGAGGTCCAAAGACAAGGTCAAACACCATCAGAAAGGAGCACCACAAGCAGAAAGGGGCACCATAAGTGTGTCAGTTAGGGGTAAGCTTGTCAGTTAGTGGTAACAATGAGAAAGAACAGTGACAAAGCATTTTCTTCAGACACAAGACTTCGGAGAAGAGGGACTGCTGTCCTCATCCTGATCCCGTCTGAGCAGCCATGTTTTATGCTCTTTAACAGCCACTGAATTACTTTGATTTTGGTAAAAACATTTTTAAAATATGGAAACAAAACTGTACCTTAATCTGCAAGACATCAAGTGGAACCGTCTCTCCTTTCACAATGGCGAGGGTAGCATCTGTAATATGTCTAAGGGATGGTGAGAAAGGGATTATCATGTGAAGAAGTAACACACCCCACACAAACGTACACACACAAGCACAGCCCTTCCCTCCACACACACAGATACATACACACAACCACAGCTCTTTCCCATACACACACAGACATACATACAACCACAGCCCTCCCCTCCACACGCATATACATACACACAACCACACCCCTCCCCCCACAACCACAGCTTTCCTCCCACATCAATACACAACCACACTCCTGCCTCCCACATGCACATGCACATACACATACAACCACACCCTTCCTCCCAGATACACATACAACCAGATCCCTTCCCCATACACACATGTATGTACACACAACCACACCCTTTCCCTCACACACACACAAGTGCATCCCTTCCCCACACATGCATATACATACACACAATCACATCCCCATGCACATACGCACAACCACACTCTTCCCCCCACATGCAGATACACACACAATTACACTCCTGCTCAGAGTTATCAGTAGGGGGGTCAGGAATCAAGCACAGTGCCTCAAACTAAGAAAGCAGAATAAAGAAGAATTACTGACACAAATACAGTAGAAAGCCCTGACAGGGCCTCTGAATGAAGGCTTTGACAGGAAGTTCATACCAGACACCTACCACTGACTCATGTAACCCTGGAGTCTAGCCACTGTACCTGGTGCACAGCTATCGCAGGCACCATGGGCTGCTGAAAGGACGAACAGATCTGTCCTGGAAGAAATGCAGCCAGAATGCTCCTTGAAGCGAGAATGGCCAGACTTTGTCTCTCCTACTTTGGTCATGTTGTCAGAAGGGACCATTCCCTAGAGAAGGAGATCATTCTTGGTAAAGTAGAGGGTCAGAGAAAAAGGGGAGGAAGGCCTTCAAAGAGATGGACTGACACAGCAGCTTTAACGATGGGCTCAAGTATAGCAAGGATTGTGAGCATGGCACAGGACCGGGCAGTGGTCCGTTCTGTTGTAGCAGGGGCTGCTCTAAGTCAGAGCCGACTCAACAGCACCTAACAACTACGTCAGTTCAAACCCACCAGCTGCTCAGCAGGAGGAAGATGGGGCAATCTACCTCCATAAAGATTTACAGCCTTGGAAACCCACTGGGGGTCACTATGAGTCAGAATCAATTCAATGACAGTGGTTTTTTTTAAATAAAGATGTTTTCCACACACTGGAAGAAATTTAAGGTCCTTGCCCAGAAGGAGAACTAAAGGACAGAATTTGATGGTATTACCTCAGCAAAGTATAACCCAGAACCCAAGACATGGTCCCCCGATATTCCACAATTACTAGATGTACTTCATTTTAACTGCTGATGGCTTTGTTCAAACACACACTACTCTCACAGACATTCCGACCATCGTTGGAAAAGCCTGAAAAAATGTCCATTAACCGACATGCACTCTCCATGTGCATTCCAAACATGTGAGACTGCCAGGCTAGGAGCAATTCTAGGGATCATGTCACAATTAGATGCAAGGTCAGCTTCACATAACATACAACACGTTAGCAGAAGAAACACCAAGTCAGCAGGCAGCCGGACACTAAGATTCTGTGGGAGCAAAGAGAACAAATGACCACGTCACACTGTCCTCTCCTGGCCTGCCCACACCCCCAGACACCCTCTGTTGACCCCTGGGTGCCTGGTGAGTCCCCAGCCTCCAGATGGTGGCTTACAGGTCACCCTCTCAGCCAGGGTGACCCATCAGCCGACGTGGGTCCCTCCCTGTGATCTCTGTCACTGAGTACCTTTTCCTTCAGAGTAGATGACAATGCACAGAATACATGTCTTTATCTACTTCCTCCCACCTGTCTCCCCTGGTAGACCAGAAGTTCTCCCAGATGACTGGTCACTGACATCATCTATTAGACAACCGAAAACCTGCACCCAGCACCTTGCACGGCACCTGGCAGGCACTCGACATTTGCTGAATAGATGAATGAGTTTATGAAACACAATTTCAAACACAAAAAAGCCCAGAGTACATAGTACCTGAACTCCTGTCTACTCTGCACACAGCCTCCATGATCATCAGTCCAGGGCCAGCCCGTTTCCTTTAATGCCCTCCTCTCACCTCCCCTACCCTGCATTAAATGACGTAAACCCCAGGTATCTTGACTCTTCATCCATAAATATTTCTGCAGGTGTCGCTAAAAGATAAAGACTGTTATTGTAAAACACAGAAACAAAATTTTAGGTATTATCATACCTAAAACGTCTAAATAATTTCTTTATATCTATTCATCCATAATTCAAAATTTCCCCAATTAACATATACATATAGTTTCACTGTTTGAATCAGCATCCAAATGAGATCTATACACTGCAGTTAGTTTCTTTGTCTCTTATGTTGTTGTTGTTATGTGCCATTGAGTTGGCCCCGACTCATAGCGACCCCTCCTTGGGTTTCCGAAGCAGTATCACTATGGAAGTAGATTGCCCCATCTTCCTTCCGAGGAGTGGCTCGTGGGTTTGAATCACCAGCCTTCTGGTTAGGAGTCAAGTGCCTTAGGCACTACCTACCAGAGCTCCTCTTCTAATCTATAAATTCTCTCTCATTTTCTTTCCTCTATTTGTAGAGGGTCAGTGAAAAAGGGGAAGGCCCTCAACAAGATGGACAGACACAGTGGTTGCAACAACGGGCTGAAGCGTAGCAGCGACTGTGAGGAGGGTGCAGGCCGGGCAGTGCTGTTGTATTATACACGGGTCGCTATCAGTCGAAACCAACGCAACGGCACCAAACACAACAACAATAATTTGTTGAAGAAATAGGTTATCTGCCTGCGCCTCCAGTTCCTGCATGTATTGACAGCCTGTATCTAGAATGGAAAATTTGCATCAGACTCAGTGTAAGTTTTTGGCAAAAAGTACTGCACCGCTGGTCGTGTGTACTCCACCAGGAGGCACGTGATACCCGGCTGTCTTTCTGTGACGGAGTAACCACTGATCATCACTGGTTAAAGCAAACCAAGCCCACTGCCACTGAGCTGACCCTCGAGGAAAGAGCAGAACCACCCCCTAAGCTATTCCAGGCTGCAGATCTTTACAGAAGCAGACTGCCACATCTGCTGTGGTGGAGTAGCTGTTGGGTTTGAACCGCCAATTCTTCTGGTTAGCAGCTGAATGCTTTAAGCACTACACCGCCAGAGCGCCTCACCAATGGTTACATTTATTAACTAACAAAGAGTTGCAAAATGCCAATCTTTTAGTTCTACTGTTCTTCTATTTATTATCTCTTTTATAAAGAGAAACTTTGCCTCGACAACATTTTGGTTACCCTACAATTGACATCACATGAGAAAAACAGGGTAAAATGCTTGCATTTTTTGTTTATTTACCAGTTTTCAAAATAGTCACTTGATGCCCCAGTAACCCCCAAAGACGGCCAATGAGCTTTTCATTTCTACTGACTGCATTTTCTTAGTACCATAGTGAACTCATTCATGGATTTAAACCTAAGTGATATCTTACAATGATTATTTATCCAATGAATGAATTTTAACAGTAGAGTTAAAACTGATGTGATCACTGGAAGAGAAAGGAACATGAACGAGTGCCCACAAAAGGGCTGTGTCAGTGCTAAGCCTCAGCTCAGGGAAACTAACAGCTCTTCCCCAGGGCTCACTTAAGAGCAAGAATCATCTAAGCTTGAAAGGGCTACTTTTGACTTTCAAAATTCTTTTTAAAAGTTAGATTTATGAAGTACAGGTTATATACAGTGAAATTCATGCTTTTAAGTATATTGTTCTACGAACTTTGGCAAACACACGTAACCACTACTGTGATGAAGACATGTAACATTTCCAACATTCCAGAAAGTTCTCTCATGACCCTCTGTAGCCAATCACCTGTGCTCACCATCAGCTCCTGGCAATCACTCATCTGTTTTCTGTCCCTACAGTGTGGCGTTTTCCAGAATTTCATATCCATAAAATCAAATGGCACACAGCCTTTCAGCCCCACCTTCTCTCTCACATGAGTCTGGGGTCATTCCTGGGGTGGGACGTGGCGGTACACGGTTTCCTTTCATTGCTGAGTACAACATGTGTACACAACCAACTGTTGAGCCACTCACCAGCTGATGGGCATCTGGGCTGTTCCCGGTTTTGGGCAATTAGAAATAAAGTGACTATGAGCACACCTACAAATTTCTGCATGGACATGTATCCATGCGTTCTGCATTCCCACAGTGATGCAGGGAAGTTCCAGGTGCTCCATAAACTTGTCATCAGTTGGTGGTGTCAGGATTTTGCTCCTCCTGTCTGTTTGTTTGAGCCGTTCTAGCAGATTGGTAGAAGCATCCCATTCTAGATTTAATTTGCACTCCCCTAAGTTAGTGATGAAATGATGAAAAGAGCTGAACAGGAGATTTCAAGGGGCAGCTTGAGAAGACTAAGTAAAATAGTATAAGGATATATGGAAGACTGGGACCCGAGGTAGGCAGGGCTGGGGCTCGGGGCTGCTTTTCGCTTGGGACGCCGCTATTTTAAGGCCAGGACCCGAGGTAGGCAGCCCAGGGCTCATGGACTGCTTTTTCCTTGGGGGCAGCTCTATGATGAGGCTGGGGCCAAGGCAGTTGGCCCAAGGGATCAGGGGCTGTTTTTCTACTGGGGGCGACTCTATTTTAAGGCCCAGTCCAAGGCAGGCAGGGCCAAGGTTCAGGGGCTGCTTTTCGCTTGGGGGTGGCACTATATTAAGGCCAGGGCTGAGGTAGGTGGCCCCGGGTATCAGGGGCTGCTTTTTCCTTGGGTTGGCTCTATTATGAGGCCGGGACCCAAGACAGGTGGGCACAGAGGGATTAGGAAAAACTAAGAGAGACAACCTTGTCCGTCAGTTTGTCCTCCTGTGGTGGCTTACATGTTGCCGTGAGGCTGGAAGCTATGCTGGTCTTGTAAAATGCTAGCAGGGTTACCCATGGTGGGCAGGTTTCAGTGGAACTTCCAGGCTAAGACAGACTCAAAAGAAGGAAGAGGCCACCCAC